AATTGTTATATTAATGTAAAAATATTTTCTTAGAAAAGTATTATGTTAAACATATGACAATAATGTTATTTATAAAGTTTACGATTTAAATACAGGGTCTGATTACCCGTAATGGACCGAGCGCAGATACTCTATTGTGTAGTTATGTGAATTAAAACATTTGAAATTCACATTCACATAGATTCTGCTTTGAGTGACTCGCTCAGTAGTTAGCCTGCCGTATTCTGGATTGAAGGTTAACTGGGGGGGGGAAATGATCGCAAATTGGAGCTGTAGGTGTGTTGCAAGAGTTGTGATAGATTTCTAAAGACTACTGTTAGGAGAAGGAAAAAAAAAAGAAAATTATGAAAGGGAAAAAATAATCACATTTATGGAGGAAAATAAAAATGATCGCAAATTGGAGCTGTAGGTGTGTTGCAAGAGTTGTGATAGATTTCTAAAGACTACTGTTAGGAGAAGGAAAAAAAAAGAAAATTATGAAAGGGAAAAAATAATCACATTTATGGAGGAAAATAAAAATATTCAGTGATTTCAAAGAAAGTGGATTTGAAACTATAAAAAATGTGAAATTATATGCCATTTAAATTGGTGACATAAGAAATAAAACATATAAGTGCTCTATCCGTGAAATGTACAGTAAGAGTGTCAGAAAATGGGAAAGAACCATCCAATTACTTTCCTTCGCTCCGAAAATCCCTTTATGTAAATGGAGCAACTTACAAGATTCGAAGCGAAAATGGCAAAATATTTTTTGACCGGGGAAATATTTTCAAATCATCAATAGGATTTTTTGAAGATTTGCCTAACAATGCTTAGTTTCTGGAATATATATATATAATCTTCAAATAACTGATTCAACGTTTACTTCTTTAGAGGGTCTTGTCATGAAACATTAATATTTGGAAACAGCAAAATGCTGACAAAAAAAACTTTTTACACTAAATATTAACAGTAAGATTAAAATAGAAATAATTAAGAAACTGAAGAGTAACAGCTTTACTTAAGATATCATTAATTGTACTTTTTTGATCAAAGTATATGAAAGGGAAATAAATAAATCAGAAATAAAGTCCTATTTTACATTGCAATGTATCGTATAACGTTAAATCCACAGATCATTATTAAGAACAGATATTGTAAATAACACACTTTTCTTTCTTGGCTTTCATAATAAAACATTGAATTTTTAAAAGCTTATTTGCTATTGGAGTATTTATTTCCTACAATAAATCTGTTAAAACAAATTATGCCCTTAAATCGTCACTAAATACAAAGATAAAGGCGCGAATATTGAGCATTCCGAATGCTTAAAAGATACAAACAATACTTGCTTAATTTTAGATGATACAAAACTGAAGCCAGTCAATCCAGAAACTATAAGTAGCAGGTTTAATTATTAAGCCAAAAAATGATCTAGATAATTTTAAGAAATAATAGTTTTGAGAAGTTAAATATAGGTCGAAACTTAAATCGGATAAAAGTGATTTTAATTATTTGAGAAAAATCAAATCAAATCCATCCATTGATAGATGATAAAATTTAATTTCAATCCTTAAGTGCGATACTTGTATAATTATGGGTATTCATATTGCAGTGCACGGAGAACATAATTGTTAGAGAATTATTAGGAATTAAGCATAAATCTGTTGGGCAGATCACAGATAGCTAGCTTATCACTGTGTAGATTTAGGCTTTGAGCAGAACACAGATAGCTAGCTCATTGTGTAGATTTGGGCTTTGGGCAGAACACAGATAGCTAGCTCGTTGTGTAGATTTGGGCTTTGGGCAGAACACAGATAGCTAGCTCATTGTCCATGGTTATCGAAACCCGGTTGCTAGCGTAGTAAATCCGCAGACGTCCCACTGTGCCCTGTGGGTGGGGACATGTTAGGGTGTGTGTGTGTGTTTAATTTTGTAGTATACTTTATATCAAGATTTTAAGCTACTTTCAACCCTACCTATTATCATGGACAGTGAGTGTGGAAGTTATTATATCTTCTTGTTGACTTATCATATACATCGTATTGTGAGAATAATTTATGTAAATGTCGACCCTATTGATTACGTTTCCAAATATAATCTTAGTAAGTAAGTTAAAATATTTTGTGTATTATTTTGGTATCTATTATTATAATCAAACGTTTGTTTATTTTAATTTTCAGTGAATTGTTCTCCTT